ATAATATAATAAATAAGATAAAATTATATTTTATTATATAATTTAAAATTAAAAAATCTATAAATCATTAATTAAAAAAGAAAGCTTGAAGCCCTTCAATGAAAAATATTAAGTATTTTTAATCAATTACAACATATTACATCATTATTTTTACTGTTGAATAAATTGATATGACTAATAAAGATGAAAATTTTTTTATGAAATGACACATTGAGAATACCATTTGACTATGTCGCCAGCAATGGGAGCAGGTGCACACGAAACTGGCCTTTTACCTTGGATTCCAACTAACTCAAATGATGGGAAACATGCGTGCTCTCAAGTCTTTCCCATGAGTTGAACCGAGCCTTAGATTCAATGGTTCACCTCTAAACCTTAGGGTTTGGGTAAGGCGATGGTCAGAGCTTTGAACCCTATCACCGTCATGAATTTCATCAAAAAGTGATTTAATGATCACGCACTTCATTTAAGGAGTGAAATATTCATCGATTTAAAAATCTCAATTACTAATAATTAATTCATACAATCATACTAACTTTTTAACCATCACTCTTATAAAAAAAAATTAAAAAAAAAGTCTTTCCCATGAGTCGGAATATTCACTATTGACAAAAGCAAACACATACATCTTGGCCCCAATTGTCATTACCAATCGCATACCCGCGTTTTCAAAATGCTAGTGGAATTGCCTGCCTTCCAGCAAAGCTAAGCAGGGACATACAAATTACCGCTTAAACTTGTTGAGAAGTTGTAAAAAGGCCTGTAAACTAAAAATAGTAACATATGACCCCTTAAACTCGTCAACAGTGGCAATTCAGCTCTTCTCCAACAGCTGATGTCATCATTCCGTCCAAACTAAATCGAGTTAATGTTTTTATAGGGTCCACTATTGAGCTGTACTTGATGTAGTCTTTTTTTTTTTTTACATTTTTTTAAGAAATATAATTGGATAATTTTTTTATTTTTTTATAATTTTATATGTCATTTAAATAATTAATTTTTTTACACCTGGACCTCATGACCCAACGGTCACATACTAACTTATAATGTGCACCCCCAACCCGAGGGCTGGGGTTCGATTCCCCTTCCTCCAAAAATTGTAACTTTGTTCAAAAAATAAA